CTGAGCCGAAACATTGGTCCAGACGAACCGGATCGAATCGTGCGCGTCAATAATATTACACGCATTGTAGTATTTTGACTCACAAGTTCACGGAAGAAGATAAATAAGTARCCTCAAGAAAGAAGACGTCATCAGGTGAGTGAGTCTCAATTTAACACGTATTTAAATAAAAAGTGGCCTTCCTATGAATCTTATTAACTTGTCCTTGGCTWAAAATAAATCYGTTAGGGAAATTGTTCTTAAGTCTATGTTATCYACAACATTATATCCAACACCAAAAACGTTAGATAGTGGGTATAGAGGTCGATCATAATGGCTAACGATAATAGTGAATTAGCGGCATTCGTTCTACGCCGTGRTCAGATAAAAGGGCAGCTTACTCGGTTTCAAACATTTCTGGAAGACCCAAAGTCCAACGTTGCTACGCAATTAAGATTACGTGCTGAAAAGATACGTGAAGCATGGAGTGAATTTGATGCCATACAAAATAATATTGAGATATTAGACGTTAGTAATGAACAGGTACAATATAGGTCCGCATTTGAAAACCTATACTATGACTTAATGTCAGAAGTCGACGATAGATTATCGAAAAGCAACGCGCTTGCGCAAAATCGACAACAAATACAGGGTGATCAAAGTGAAGTCACAAATAGTCATAATTCTCCATTAATAAAACTTAAACCGTTAGAAATTCCTACATTTACGGGAAAATTCGACGATTGGGTTACGTTTCAAGACATATTCTGCGCATTGGTACATACAAATAAATCAATAACAGATATTCAGAAATTTTGTTATTTAAGAAATGCACTAGAAGGCGAAGCTAGTTCATTAATTAAAAATTTAGAAACGTCGTCATCGAATTATGAAATTGCATGGAAAATAGTCACAACGAGATACAATAATACTCGTATGTTGATTCAAACACACACGAAGCGCATTTTCGACCTAGAGCCTATTAATAAAGAATCGGGCATTAAGTTAAAACAATTAACTGATTCGCTAAATGCACATATACAAGCATTAAAAGCTTTAAAGCATGACCCACACAACTGGGGTGCATTACTGCTACACGTTATATACACGAAACTTGACACAAATTCAATACGTCAATGGGAAGCCGAAGTGTCAAAAGATGAGTTACCGAGTGTACAATTAATGATGGGATTCCTGGGTAAAAGGAGTCAAATGTTAGAGTCTGTAGAAAATGCAAAATTATTAACATTTAAGCAAAATGAACCAAATTGGTCGTCAAATAAAATCGCAAAATTTGGAGCTTCGAGAAAAGGTGCATCGTCATTTTTGTCAACGTATAAAATGAAATGTTATATGTGTCAGCAACCGCACCCAATATATAAATGTACTGCATTTCTGGCACTTGATATAGCGTCTAGAGTAAGCAAAGTCAATGAATTGAAAATTTGCAGTAATTGCTTAAAGAAAACTGACCATCAAGTAAAACAATGTCCCGCGAGGAAATGTGTAAAATGTCGAAAACCACATAATTTACTATTACACCATGATAAAGAACCAAGTTCCGACGAAGGAAGTGCACAAGGTAACGTGTCAAACGATGGGCTAGTAGTTGCGCATACCGCGGATGCCGGCGAAATTGACAATCAAGTGCTGTTGGCGACGGCAATAATAAAGGTATCAAGTCCCGCYGGTAATCATATACACGGCCGGGCATTACTTGATAATGGGTCTCAAAGTAATTTTATTACGAATAATTTGGTACTTAAACTCGGTCTGAAGCGTCATAAAGTAAATATACCGATATGCGGAATAAGTGAGTCAAAAAATAATATAAGGTATAAGGTAACAGCTGTCGTGCAATCATTAAATAGTTCGTATGTAACGACAATCGAGTTTTTAGTGTTATCAAAAATAACAGGTTCCTTACCACACACACCAACACGTACCGTGAGCATTCCCGATAACGTTAATATTGCAGATCCGTTATTCAATTGTCCGGGCAACATCGACGTTCTTATCGGAGGTGATACCTATTGGGATATAATGTGCGATGAGAAATTAAAAACCAAAGACGGTCCGTATTTGCAAAAAACGTTATTAGGATGGGTAGTCGTAGGTAAGACATCAACAAAACTAAGTACAAACAAGACTCACTCATATCATTACCAGAACCCGACACAAGCAAATTGACTCATAACTTGGTGTCGCGCTGGCAAAAAGTTCAAAGCATTGCCCAGCAAATTTGGAGGCGTTGGAGTATTGAATACCTGAGTCAACTTCAGGAACGTAATAAGTGGGACAAGTCTCGTGGTCCCCCGATAAAAGTGGGCTCAATGGTAATAATAAAAGATACCAATTTACCTCCACTACGATGGAACCTAGGGCGTGTGGTCGACATATTTCCGGGCAAGGATGGTGTGGTGCGAGTTGCAATGGTCAATACAGCGAGTGGCCAAAAGAAGAGAGCGGTGAGATTGTTGTGTCCATTGCCAATCCAAGACAATGACGAATTAGGGCCAAACTAATAGTAAAAAAAAAATGGTTATATGAAAATATTTATTTGTTAAATTTGTAAATGTAATTTTAGCCAAGGCAAATAGTATATTAAATTATTATCTTATTATTTTTGCGTCATTCAACTACATGTTGTAAATTTGTTCAATTATTATTTATGTGAATGTATTATTAATTAATTATTATATTATTAGAGTTATTTCAGTATCCCTTTTGACTGTGGGCTAAATTGTGTATTATCTGTGAATTATTCAATTATTGTTTAAGTTATTTTTGTTCTCATTAGCGACCGTGACCTAAATTATTATTGTATTATGTGTATTGAAGACTGTGCTTCAAGGCGGCCCGTATGTTTAATGAACAGATAATACGTACTATCGACGATTGTCGCTATCGACAGAAAGATAGTATTT